CAACACTCATTTTTACTGTGTGTATCTCAGAGATAGTAAATATTTTCAGGGAGGAATAATTTATAAAACATACCTACTTGAGAGGTTGTTGCTGGCTTTTCTTAAAATAATTTTGCTTGTATAGATACAGCAGTGCTAGGTTGTTTATATATGGAAGATTAGATAAGCAACACAGCAAAAATATCATTGGAAAACAATGGCTATGTTCAAATAGAGAAAATAGCAAAGGCAAATGCCCTAATATCTTTCCGTGGGCGAATCATATGTTTCACAATGTACAAACTTGAATTGATTTTTGTCAGTGTACTACTCATCTATAGTGTAGTTATTTATAGTAGCCAATATTATTTACATGTGTTTGGTGACAGGCACATGTTTCCATATTTTGTCTTTTGGAAGAAGAAGACATTCAGAAATGTTAAAGGGCACACAGTATTCTCATACTATGACAAATTCCATCGTACTTGTGAGCAACTTGTTTTTGGCAGCCCTTCCTCATGTTATCAGACCTCAGAAGGAAGAAAATTTTCCCTTCAGGCACATAGATACAAGTACCTAGATTTAAAATAGATAAACATATGACTGAATTCCATACATATGGGTGCAAGAACGTAAGAATTTTTTTCCAGGGGAGGCCTGGCTCATTTTCTGGGGATTGTGAAGGTAATGTTAAAAACAGAAAATTTCCAAACATACTATGAATTCAAATTCAAATTTGAGTTTTGGATTCTCAGTGAATGCTTGGGTGAAATTCTTTCCCTAGGAAGTTTTCTCCTATATTAACTAATAGTAGCAAACTTACTAGGTTAAAAAGCATTGATTGGTAGAAGCAAGTGCTAGCCATGCCATGACATTGCTTTTCTTTTTCGTAAGCATACTAGGAAAACACCTAGAGTGTGTGGGGAAGGATCAGTTGCATCCTTTCTTGCTAGAATCAAGCTTTCTGTTCATGTCTCTGGCTCTTTAAAGACCATATGTCCATTATTCCAGGAAATCAGCTACCTAGGGCACAGACAGACCCCTTCACACCTGCTTAAGGGCTGCACTACAGGTTTTAGGCTACAGATGAGCTGCCAGGTGGGGCAGAACTGCTTGGTGGTAGCTTGGAAGCAGCCTGCTCGCTGTGACTGGCAGAGTGCTAAGCATGTCTGCTCCTAAAACCTCCTCGGAAAGTGAAAGTCTCCAGTCAACCTAATTAATGAGACAGTGAAGAGCAATGAATAAAGCAACACGTCTGCTGGAAAAGCTGATTCCAGGGACCTGGGGACCTAGCGACCCAGCCACAGGGGAGGTTTAGCAGCACCCTTATGAATGATCATGCTGTTAGGGCCATGGAGGTTTTACAAAGCTTTATGCTTCTTTGGGACTCTAGGACAACCCCTTTGAAACTAAGTGGGACAGTTACTACTATTCTCACTTGACTGGTAAGTTTATATGGCTTCTTTAGTGGTGAACTCAGCCTGAATTTAGACTATATGAAAAAAGATCATTTAGCAACAGCTCACAAATGTAAGACTCCCTATCGACGCTAACACCTGGAGGCATGAGACATGGATGTATGAGCCCCCAAGACGTGGGAGCAATTCTCCTCAAGAATTTCCAACAGGGCTGGGGATTTAGCTCAGTGGCACAGGACCTGCCTGGCACACATGAGAGTCTTCCCCACACACACACTAAAAAGAAAAAAAAAAAAAAGAATTTACAACAATTCTTAATTTCAGCACCATTCCTAGATCAGTATGGTTAGCTATTCAGTGACAGAAGTGTCATTTCCTGACCTATTCCTTAAAGGCAGTAACTTTCTTGGGGTTCTCACCCTTAGTGGCAAATGGCAAGTCAAAGATTTACTAACTGGAGTGTGCATGTACAATTACAGAGGGTCAGTACTGTGGAATGGCTGAACCCATTTCCTCAAGAATACATGTTTCTGGGGAATAGATAAGACAATTAGAGTACCATGTGGCATAAAAGAGGTCGGCTTGTCTGATAGATCTATATCTGAAGTCTGTCACCACATGGGGTGACACTTGCCTTCACCAAGCCTCAGTTTCCCAGCTTATAAAGTGGCGTTACTATCTGCTCTTCCCTGCTACCTTCTAATTGAATGAGGTAAACCTTGTTTCAATCAGTTGCCATTAAAGTAGAAAACTTACCAAGGCAAACCCATTTGTTTTTCATGTACGATAGGACTCTATCTCCACTAATAGATGGCATGGTTGTGAAAGACAGATTATAATGTCGTTCTGGATCTATTCATACTGCAAAAGTTATTAATCCTGTGGCTCCACTAGAAGCCAAATGAAGCTGCTTTCCCATGCTATCTCCCTGCCATGCAGGATGCATGTTCTGGGAAGATTTCATGCATTTTTTTGTCATTGGGTTGGCAGAACTGTCAAATGTCAGATTTGAAAGATGAGGCTGTCTACAGAAGCTTGGGTGATGGTTAAGCGGAGGAACAAAAATGAGAAACTGCCTTGGCCACTCTCGGTGTGTGGACGGCTCCTGGTTTGGCTTCTGGATGGACTTGCCTACCACCCCACGTCCCCTGCCCTGTGCCCACAGAGCCGGACCTGTGGGCATCCTCCAGGCCGGCCTGACCCTGAGTGTTTGGTTGAGTTCAGTTAATGTGGATCCTCAGCAGAGATTGAAAATGAGAGTGAGAGGAGCAGGAGCATTTTTTTCTTCCTTTCCTTTTGTGGAGTTTCTACAACCTGGCTGTGTCTGGAGAGAGAAGTCTTGTGTATCAGAGAGTCAGCCCTTATCCTGCTATTGCTCTGTCTTGCAGCTACTTTGTTTTCTCCACTTATCTAGGAGGGCCCAGGGTTGTAGCTGTCCTCAGCCAATCCACACGTTTGTATCAGGATGAAACACAGACTTCTTCACAGGAAAACTGATCACATAGTGACAATTTTGCATGCAATAAAATAAGTAGTTATATCATTAAGCTCTTTTGAATAGACCAGTGAAAGTCGAGTGCTTTCATCAACATAGAAAAAGTTCACTGTTAAGATTATGGAAGGCAGGATTGCAAAGGAGATGGCAGAGCAGCTTTCCATCCATTTTTCTCTTTTTAGTGTTATTTTAAAATTTAACTTTTACTTTGTTACTCTTTCTTTGTGTTTTTCTTTTTAAATGATTTGCTTATTTTTTATTAGCACATATTGATAGCATGTAATGGTCACAGTCTTCAAGAGGAACTGGTGAATATGCGTGACACATCTTGATTCTTTTTCTTTTTAGTCCCCTCTACGCTAGCTTTTCCATTTCTTGGTTCTCTTCCCACATGTAAAAGGCACTTCATATATTTTTGAGATAAAGCTATTTGCTGAGGGCAAGAGGATTATTAAGCAGACAGTGTAATTCTACATGAACACTGAATTGGTAGGTATCATTTCCATAGGTCAAGTGGTTACTTGCATGATGGCACCAAAATGGTCTGAACCTGTTTAAATCAGTCTGGGAGATTTGAAACCTGACGGCCCAGCTTGGTGTTGCTGGGTCCTCGCCAACTCAGCAGTAGAGACTCATCATGGCGAGGCAAAGGAAAGAACAAAATCTGATATTGTTTAGACAAGAGATCACGTCTGCATATTGTCCTCTGGATAACTACTACAAAGACAACATATGCAATGTATTAATTATTGTAATTGTCCTGCTAACCTATTTTGAAACTGTTTCATTGCTATTACATCTATTTTTCTTTTTCTCTTTTTTTGCAGTACTGGGGAAAGAACTCAGGACTCTGCACTTGTCTGGCAGGCTCTTATTCTACTGAGCTATCTCCTTGGCCTACATCTTTTTTTTTCTCATTAAAATGAATTTTAAAAAAATCTAAAGGAAAGGAGACAAGGGACTGAGTCCTTGCTCCTTACTTCATCAGTTATATAGTCAGGGAAAGTCACTGAGGCTTTTTATCCTCAGATTTCTGATTTGTGAAATTAGGAGTCAGAAGGATACAACCTTCCGAATCCCTTGCACTTTTGAGTTTTGGTAGGTGGTAGAAGTGGGGCTTAATAGCAATGAACTAGCCATGCCTCTGGCTGCTCCTTCTGCCATGGCCTCCTCTGCCAGCTCCTCCGCTCCATCCAGCAGGTGGCCAACAAGTCCTAGGCGCAGGATGAACACCAGAGCAATCCCACAGCTCCACCCCACAGATACTGTGCTCTACCATCTTGCAGACTGCAGCTAGCTTGCCTTCACAAAATTGATTCTGAAGTATGGCTAGATTTGGAAACCATTATAGAAAATGTGATCTTGGAGATAAACAAAGAAGACTGAAGATAAATGGAAATTATTGAGTGGCTCTCAGGACAATTCTGGTAGAAGTCCGGTGTGGTTCTCAGGAATTGGACTAATGATTTCAGAACCCCTGCTCCCTATAATACTTTCTTGTTACCATGGGTCATGTGGGCATCAACATTATGAGTGTATGTCCTGTTGATCCTAAACTCTTCTGCATTCTCTTATGTTCATATGCATCTATTTTAAGCCGTGAAAACATAGGGTATGTTAATATTTATGTGTCTCATTTAAGTAAATGTATAGCTATTCCTAATAGAAGTGATCGGCTCAAACCTGTCCTGGCACAGAGTAGTGAAGGATCATCCTCGAAGACTGCCAGTAACCATTAGTGGCAAACTGGGGCCATTGGGAGGCATTGCCTTAGTTTCTTATCTTCCTCCCAGGAGGTGCTCAACCCATTTCTCATCAATATTCATGAAGTATTTCTTACTTATTAAAAAAAGTGCTCATGGTCTGATAGACTCTTTGTAATTGTTTATGACTCAGTTATTTCCAGTGGTCACTTATCCCATGGAACAATTACTCCTAAGGACTGCCTAGAACTAATGTGCCTCTCTCAGTGTGACATTCCACTGTAGAAGCAAATGGGATTACATATGCAAACTGCTTCTTCAGTCAAACATTAACACCATGTTCACTCTTTGCAGGTAACTGTATTCTTTCAAATAAAATTCAAAGCAAAGCCCTTCAGTGCTTACCGGGTCCCGACGCACCAGCTCGCCATTGGGCACAACTTCAATCAGGTGGACGATGATGATTATGGAATTCAGGATGTAGGTCAGGAACATGTGCTTGTGCAGGGTCACTCGCTGGCACCCAAGACTCCTGGAAAGAAAAGCAATGGTAAAGGATTAGCTGGTGTCAAAATGGTGAAGTATCAAGCTGGGGATGGTGCTCAGTGGCACTGAGTTCCATCCCCGGTACACACTCACAAAAATAATGCTGAAGCACCTCTAGCCACAGGTGAGAGAACACAGAAAAAAGTGAGCCAGATCCCATCATGAAGGCTGGTTGCCACTTTCAGCCTTTTTAAAGGAACAACTTCAAAAAGAATTATCTGGTCCTAGCACATTTCTTTGGCCCTCAGAGAGGCTTCGGGAAGTGTAAGTGATAAAATCATTTTAATTATAAAATACGTGGCACAATTAATTAAGAGAAAGTTTCTTACAGGACAAATCGTTAAGGTTGGGTGCATGCTTCAAATGAAAGGACTACTGCTCGTTGCTGTGACTAGGCAGAAAATGTGATAGATGGGGCCAGGAAACATGAAATTTATTATCTAGTACATGTTTGGTTTCTTCCCACTAGGAAGGAAGTGCTAAAGAATTTGTTTGTGGGATCATGATTTCTTTAAAAATAATATAATCCAGGTGTGGTAATGTGTGTCTGTAAGCCCAGCATGCAGGAGGCTGGGGCAGGAGGATGCCTACAAGTATGAGGCCAGTTTGGGCAACATGATGAGTTCAAGTTCAGCTTGAACAGCATAGTGAGAGCCCCTCAACAAGAAACAAACAAAAAATTAAAAATATGAGAATAATAGTCTTTGTGCTGTGACTGCTGAAATTTTTTCAGTGCATTAAAGAATAATATTGAATGCTAGACGGTTTCACAGCTCACACTATGTGTCACACTATTTGCCAAATTCTTAGATATAAACTAGTGAACATTATTCTATTGCTCAACACTAGCTAAAATATACAAAATATATTGCACATATGTATATGTAGCACTGCACATACATAAAAGCATATACCCTACTCCTTGAAACACAGAGATAATGATGGCCAAAACCTAAACCATTACCCTTCAAAGTAAGGATTAGCTAATACGTGATTTTGTTTTTCTTAAAAGCCCAAATATAATTTCTACTTATGGAGTTGTCAAAATTTTATCACGCTGACCTGATGACATGCATGCTTATTTTTTGAAATGATTTAGAGGCAGTTTAAATTTATCAAAATTAAATCAATACACCAACACACATTACTGTGTACTACTGTGACCCAGTCCTTCTGATAGACGATAAGGACATTATGAGCAGTCAAAGCTTCCGACTTCAGGGGCCTCCCACACCGCAGAGTCTTTTGTCTACTCTTCCTGTGACTATGCTGACTATGCTGGAGGAGAGGTTAGGGATGCTAGAGAGGGTGGGCTGAACTTAGTTAACAGTTATCAGGGTAAAATCCTGTTCTGGAATGAACATAAGAGAAGATGGCGTTTTCCTGTTAGCAATGTCTGAAGTAGTAACAGTACCAGTCTGACATTAGTTATACTATAGTTTTTTGTTTGGTTAAAAAAAAGCATTAAATGAACACTGCTTTCTATTTGAGTGACAAAAGGCATGCTTTCTGCACCAATGAGAAGATAAGACATCAAAATCTAGCTCTGTCTTGGCCCAGCCATGGTGCCATTCAAATATGAGAAAGAGATAACAATGTACTTGGGAATGAATGTCAAAATGCCTTATTTTAAATTTTATTTTATTTTAGTTTTTATTTTATTTTGTGCATTTAGTTCAGGGTCTACAGGGTCTCACTAAACAGATCAGACTCATAGTGATCTTCATGTGTTCAGCCTCCAAAGCACTGGGATTACAGGTGTGTACCACCATGTCCAATCTCAATTGCCCTCTCAACATGAAAAATTCATGTTTGGGACTATAGTTTTGTTGTGTAAATCTTTTTTACTGAAGAATTTATTTCAATTTATTAATATTGTATATATATATATATATAAATATATATGTACTTTATGGTTCTTGTTATGGTATTGGAAGGCATCTAATATTTACTCTGGATATTTAATATTCTCAGAGAGTATAAATCAGTATGATGTCACAGGTGAGAAACAGCAGTATTGAGTCTTATAGAAGACTGTAAATATAGTCATGTTAAAAGCCAATAAAGAATGTAGCAAATGAACAAGTGAAAGTTGTTCTGAGTTTACTGGCACATGGGAAAATATAAACTAAGAATCATTCCCATAATTGTCATGAGTGATTGAGTCACATTATCTGGTGTAACTGAATTTCTTCTTTATTTACTTATTGTAGTATTTTCTTAGTGGTTATGGGAACTGAGGGAATGATATAGAATAAATTATATTTAAACTCCTAAAACATGGAAAACCTAGTAGAGTTGTCTCTTTGGAGAACCAGAAAGGCAGACAGAGACATACAGTTGTGGGTGCTGCACAAGATAAAGATTCATCTGCTCGTCCAATGTATGGCTGTAACATAAAATTATTCAAAGCCCTGAGTAAGTGGTAGGTGGTAATATCCTTCTGTGTGCCACAGGGAAGCTCCTTTTTTTGACCCCTAAGATTATCCGTACTTTTTTTCCATGCAATGATACTTCCTGTCTTACAATATACATAACATATATTTCTAAAACTCTTCACATAAGGATAATAATATTTAGAATATTTAACAATCAGAGATGTATGGGTAACAATCAGTCATAATCTATGGTACTAAGTGTTCTATTCTGCTTTTCTTGACAGAATACATGGTGTGTTTAAGTATTTAAGACAATTTCACAGAAATGTAACTTGATACATTTAAGAAGTTTTGAGATGAGAGTGTTTATCAGAAATTTGTTGAAAAAGTTAGCAATCAGCATCAAGTACATATTTACTTAAGTGTCTTTTTTAAACTAGTCATGTCTAAGGCGTCTTACCTCTCTGTGTGACAATGATTGTTGGCAATGACTAGTGAGAGATCTTACTGAACTAATTTAATGTTGACATGTAATCCTTCTCCATTACACCACCCCTATCTTTCCCATGAGCTTCCTAAACTAAATAACTATCCTATAGAGGTTCTCTTCTTTCTCTGAACAGTGGGCTGGAAATAACTTATGTGCTATATTGAATGTTATTTAAACTATTACACAGGAAATGTCTGCAATGTTGTTGTTTCTAGTATTTCAATCACTGAAGCTTTTTCCACCTCTAAGTTGAAAAGAACAGAGAGGTTCAATTTTCTTTTTTTGAAGTGACAAAATTTTATGTACATTTCTACACTAGCTTTGCAATGGTGCAGAAGGCATGATTCTTCACCTTTCCCTCCATCCTCAGAATGAAATCACAGTAAGTTTAGGGACCTGCTTTAATGGCCTCACTTCAGATAATGGACAAGATTTTTGAGCTTTTGAAACGTGGGCTGTTTTATAGCCTCCTGCCTAATTAGTAATTTTCTCATTCCTCTGCAGGACTCCCCAGCCTGCTGGCTTTGGGACACCTGCAGGGTAACTCCTTTTTATAGACCTTGTGAGGCACACTGAGAAGGTTTAGGGCTTCACAGTGAGATTTCGATGGATGATCATGAATGGGGCATCAGTTCTTAGAAGTGGACCTGTACTGGGCATGGTGGCACATGTCTGTAGTTCCAGCTTTGGGAGGCTGAGGTAGGAGGATCACTGTGAGTTTGAGGCCAGCCTGGGCTACATAGTGAGTTGCAGGCCATCCTGGGCTACTCAAACAACAATGACAATAGAAGTGGAACTGCATAACGTTTTATTTTAGTTTCATGAAAGTTTTATGAAATTGTCTGGATTCTGTAAAAGAACCCAGGGAATACATACTTAAGAGATCAAAAGTCATAATTTTGCTTAAATTTCCACATAGGTGATGTCATTTAGGTACATGAAATTTCCTCTTGTAAGAGTCACTAAAGATCCTATGCATGATATTTAAAAAATTCTGGGAGTATTTGGTTGGTTAAAAGTAAATTTCAACAATAAATCAGATTGACTTTCTAGTATTACAATCACTTAATACTTTGACATGCACCCAAATAGCCAAAATGGAGTTTAACTTTAAGAATATGTCCTTGAAACTTTTGGCTTGGGTATTTTCAAGGAATGAGAGAGAACAGGTATGAAAGTTACTCCTGCCTTCTTTTGTGTTTGACTACTTTGCATCTCAGCATTTGTATCCTGCGCATTTCCTACTTTTATCTTGTGGTGGCTGCCACGAGCACTAGTGTGCTCACTTTATGTCTTCTTCTTGTATTTATATTATAAATCAGAAAGACTTCTTTTTCTTCCCTTATTTCAATTTATGCTTAGGGCATTCTTGGCATTGAGAGGTAGTAGAGTGAAGTCAGTGGCTCCTAACCGATGTATCTGATATTCTATCAAGGCTTGGGCTAGAATCACTTTGTTTGGGAACTAATTGGAGTTGAAAAATATTTAACTTTTCCATGTGTTGCACACTTCAATGCTCATCTTCAGCGGGATAGCACAGTAGTTATACTTGAAGGAATATTGTTATTTTCTTTGCTGATTTGCCACATCACATTTATTGCTTATTTAGGTAAATGGAGAAACATGAACTATGAAATTCTCCTGGAGATTTTTTCTTAAAACTATGACTATAGATTTTAGGTGCATGATTATAAATTTGGGAACTATTTTCCTTCAACTTTTCTAATTTAATTTTAAAAACATGGTAAAAGTGGGATGTTAGCGGAAGACTTTTTTAAATCACAGTTGTATGAGTCACAATGCTTTTATCTACTATGGTGAGCAACCACCTAAAACCTAGAGGCCCCAAAGTTAATCTTGCTCTACGCTTACTCTCTGCATTCTAATCACTTTAAAGGAAAGTACTCTTCTAATTCTAGTAATTAATGTGTTATGTCTTGTTGTGTTATGAGTCTTCCTTCTGTTGAACATTTATGGAAGTAGCTCATCATTTGTCTACTTGTGTTATTATTTGCTATTCAGATAAAAATTGTTCTTCAGTTGTACTGGACTGTCAATAAAAGGCAATAATATAGAAAAAGATTTTAAAAGGATTGAGAAAAATAGTAATTTTATGGATGATATTGAGATCATTATTCTCCCTTGGTTTAATTTTCTTTAGTATTGTCCTATTAATAGTCTAACAAAAAATCAAATTAAGATTTTATTAGTCTTTCTATAAAGTACTGTCTATTTAAATACATATAACACCTTTTCAGCATGGATAATTATTTGGAATTTGAGACTAGGAAAGAACTCTTCTTCATCATTTGTATCATACCAATATAATAAATAATGATGATGGTAGCAATCATAAGGATATGGAACACTTATATTTCACTTTTGTGTCCAACATTAATCTAGGTACGAGGTCCTATAACTTATTTCAATTTCAAACATATTTGCTGGATTGTGGTGCATCTATCTGTGGCCTACTTTGAGCCTGTATTTGTGAATGTGCCTCAGAAAGTCAGTTTGACATTGTGTCGCAGTGTTCTATGTTCACTAAGGCTTGCTGTGATGAAAGTGCATATAACAGTTTCTAATTTGAATGTACAGTTATTTGGAAAGCACCTGTTTACATTCACTTATTGTCTTAATAATAAAGTATTTGAGACATTCTAGTGTATTTTCTTATGTTTTTCTGTCTAATAGAATTGTTCTGACATAAAACCTAAAGAAAAATATCCTTTTAATTAGGTTTAACAGATATGGGTTCCTATCTTTGTTTGTTCATTCCTTATTCTTGCATTGACTACCATGTCTTCAAATGTTGTTCTTTTGGAGCTTTAGCTGAGTCCTATTAGATGACCATTTTCAGGCCATTTTCATAGGTTATTTCACCTGTGCTGGCTTTAGTTCTCCTTAACTATGACCCTAGTTAGGGCAATGGCAAGGTCCTCTTTATGAACAAAATAAACACCTCCTTCATCTGTTGGGATCTGTACAGAGTTTTTTTAAATCAAGTATTTAGCTAAAGATATGTTTATCAGGTATTTAGCTTCCACTCTATTCACAAAAAGGAGAGTTGTTGTCAAGATTTTTCTTAATCTCACTTTCTATAATATGGTATAAAATTTGAGGTAGAAAGACATACTATGTTAGTATCAAAGGTAGAAAAAAGAATTCTCATTAAAAGGTATTGCAGTGCCTCTTGCCTTTCCTTTAAAGAAATGACACTAAAATTTATGAAATATCTCAATATAGTCATATGTTACTATCTCACATGAATTGCAGTTGTTTCCCTGGTCCCACTCCTCTAAATTTACTATTTATTTCAGTGACATAAAGAAGCAAAAAAAGGGCAAATGCCCCAAATGTACTTACCGGAAACACACAAAAATTGTCAGCGAAATGACCAAGGTGAAGATCGACATGGAGTGGCCCACAATCGCCAAATAGTACAGGACAAACGCATTCTGGAAAACAAAATTTTAAAAAACAGATGAATAAGTGATAGATTTTATTTCTAAATATAAATCAAAAAACATTTTCCTTATTTGAAAATCCACTAAAATTACGGAAATTATTTCAAGAGAATGAAATTATTTTAGTTTTATTCATTATTTTATATAAAAAATTTATCTATTTTAAAGAATAAAGTTTTTGATTTGAATTCAGTCTTATTCAAAAAATATTGCAAACCAGGTGCAGCTGACCCATTCCATACTGCTGGGCCCACCTGAGCCCAGACCAAGGCCCCGAACTACAGGAGAATTCTTTGGCCACAGAGGCAGCAGAAGGTAACCGGGGTGAGCTAGTCTGCCTGGAAGACTCTAGATCTGTAAGGGAAGGTGCCCAGAAAGAACTCAAGGGGACTAATTTAAATACAAATTTCCTATTTAAGATCTGCTTGGTTATACAGCTTAATGTATGTTCCTATGGTCTAAAGAACAAATCCATTAATTACAAAAATTTGTCAATTTCTAAATTTCACTGTTATTAGTAATACTACTTGTTCTACTGTAAATAGGAAACCATATCTGTCTTAACCACATGTTTTCCCTTCGGTATTCATATTGGGAGGTGTTTGGGTAATAACTTCACAAAAGTCCTACACTGAAAAGCAAAGGACAGTGCCAAACGGACACCAATATCTCATTCTCAATCAGCAAAGAAAGCAAAATCTCTCTGAGACAGGACAAATAACAACAACAACAACAAAAAAAAAACCCAGACTCTTTATAGAGAAGGTCTGACTCCAATGACACAGTTATCTACTTTCAAACTTTTACAAAAAGATATCATAGAAATCAAAATAAAAAGATGTTTTTGAAATAGAAAATGAAAGAAGAATGAGCAAAGTGCATTCTCAGGCCCTAAGTCCACACAGAACAAACCCAGGTGATATCAGCATAGAAAAAATCGGAAGCCACACACCTGAAATCTCTGAAATAATAGCAACTAAAAGTAAAAAAAACAACTGCAGAAGAGTATAGAGGAAATCAGATCAGAGATAATCTCACAGGTAAAAATAGAAATGATAATTACAATGAAAGAACTTTTAAACATTTCTAAAGAAGACACTGATAAAAATAGAGGAAAATAGAAAAATGACAGAAACCTTGAATGAGCAATATAGGAAAGAAATAGAATGTATGAAGTAGATTCAAAGAGATATACAGGAAATTAAAAACTCAATCATAAATTGGCAAAACTATTTGAATGAAAGTGAAGAAAACAATACCAAGTAATGGATCCAAAAATTGGTTCTTTGAAAGATTAAATAAAATTGATAAACCATTAACTAATCTCATCAAAAAGAGGAAAGAAAAAAACTCAAATTCAAACAATAAGGAATGAAAAGGGTGAAATAACTATAAACACTGTGGAAATTCAGATTATCAATAGCTACTTTGAAAATTTTTGCTCTTACAGAATCGAAGACATAAGAAATGGACAAATTCCTAGATAAGTACAAATTACCAAAACTGAATCAAGAAGATATATAAACTCTGACTAACCCAATATCATCAGTGAAATTGAAAAATGCAATAAAAACTTATCGACAAAGAAAAGCTGATGGATTCACAGCTGAATTTTACAAGAAATTGAGAGAATATTTAATCTCAGTACTCCTAAAACTCTTCAATGAAATTGAAAAGGAAGCAATACTTCCAAAATCATTCATGGAAGCAAGTATTATACCGATACCAAAACCAGAGAAAGATTCAACCTAAAGAGAACTACAGGCCAATCTCCCTCATGAACATAGTTGCAAAATCCTCAATAAAATCCTAGCAAATAGAATACAGCAAATCATCAAGAAGATTATACACCACGACTAGGTAGGATTCATCCCAGGGAGGCACTGATGTTTCAACATATGCAAATCTAAAATGTAATATGCTACATCAATAGAGCCAAATCCAAAATGATGATCATCTCAATTGATGCAGAAAATGCTTTTGACAAAGTCCAACACTCATTCATAATCAAAGCCCTATAGAAAATTGGAATAGATATCCTCTACCTCAATTTGATAAAAGCCATCTATGACAACACAGAGTCAATATAATTCTAAATGGGGAAAAACTGAAATCTTTTATTATCAGATCAGGTACAATATAAGAATATCTTCCATCACCACTCCTATTCAATATAGTTCTGGAAACATTAGGTAGAACCATCAGACAAGAGAGAGAAATAAAAGGAATAAGAATAGGTAGAGAAGAAATTAAACTATCATTATAGAGATGGCATGATACTCTACTTGGAAGACCCAAAATACTCCACCCAGAAGCCACTAGAATTAATACACAAATTCAGTAGCATATCAGGTTACAAAGTCAATACCCAAAAATCAACAGCATTCCTCTATACAGACAACAAACACACTGGGAGAGAAAGTAGAGAAACAATACCCTTCACAATTGCACCAAAACCCTGTAGGAATTAATCTAACTAAGGAAATAAAAGATCTATACAATGAAAATTACAGTACCCTGAAGAAAGAGATCAAAGAGGATTTCAGAAAATGGAAAGATATTCCCTGCTCCTGGATTAGGAAGAATCAAGATTGTGAAAATGGCCATTGGCCATCGTCCCCAAACTGTTAAACAGATTTAAAGCAATCCCTATCAAAATACCACCAACATACCTCACAGATCTAGAGAAGACATTCTTAAAATTTATTTGGAACCAGAGAAGACCTAGAATAGCAAAGTCAGTCCTGGGCAACAAAACAGGGCAGGAGGCGTTGCAATCCCTGACTTGAAATTAGACTACAAAGCTACTGTGATAAAGTCAGCACAGTACTGAAAAGAAAAAAAACAAAACAAAAAAACAAAACAGACCCAAGGATCAATGGAACAGATTAGAAGATGCAGATATAAGTACAAACACACTCAGCCATCTTATCTTTGACAAAGGGGCCAAATATATTTACTGGAAGAAAGATAGCCTCTTTAACAAATGGTGTTGGAAAAACTGGCTCTTTATATGCCAAAAATTAAAACTAGACCCAGGTCTATCACTGTGCACTAAACTAAATTCAAAATGGGTTAAAGATCTAAACATTAACCTAGAAATACTAAATCTCCTGGAAGATAAAGTAGGTTGAAATCTTGAAGACACAGGGGTAGGCAAACCTACGTTCTTCACTGCTGGTGGGAACGTAGACTGGTACAAGCGTTATGGCAATCAGTGTGGAGATTCCTCAAAAAACTAGGACTGGAAATCCCATTCAATCTAGCTGTGCCTCTACTGGAATAACTGAAAACTTCATACACAATAATATATGTGCACTCATGTTTATAGCAGCACAGTATGTCAAAGCCAAATTTTGGAAGCAACCATTCCATCACCCAAGGAATGGATGAAAAAGATGTGGTATTTTTATACAGTGGAGTATTACTCAGCTATAAAGAAAGACAAACTAAAGTCCTTCATGGTTAAGTGGATATAACTTGAAGCAATACTCAGAAGTGAAACAAACCAGACCCACATGTGCAAATAACATATTATCTCCCTAGTGCAAGAACCCAAAAGAAGAAATAAAATGTGAAAGTTATAACAGATATAGTAAAACAGAAAGAAATGGTACTCAAGGATTAGACCATGAGGAGGAGAGACAAGAGAAGGGATGGGACCAAAGGTGGGGGAAAAGGTTGCAAGTGTATGTGCAGGATGGCTGGGGTGATTGTGCTGAAAAAAATCTCTGTTGGTCTTTTGAAGGTAGTGGTTGATGTGTGGAGTTTTCACCTTGACTGGCTCTGTATTCTGATGGCTGCAATCTAGGCAACTACATCAAGGACTAATGTGTAATACAAAAACCGTGCTTGAATACTTAACATCTTGATCTTCTAAATGTGTATCATTTCTAATGTCATATTAATTATTACCATACTCTCTTAAAAAAAAACTGCAGAAAAAAAGGTTAAAAAAAGAGACAAGAAAAGAACTTAAGGTTTCTTGAAAGCAAGTGGTAATATTCAACCATATATCTAATCTCATATAACTATATTTGCTTATCTGAGCAACAGATTTGATGATAAAATAATAGATAATATGTCAACCATTGTTAATCAGCTATCCTTGGTTTGAAAATCTGTGACATATGTACTTTTTATGTTGCCCTGTTTCTTTCTTTGTTTCTGAGTTTTGTTCTTGCTTTGCTTTTAGTTTTCAAAACAAAATTAAATTAAAATTCAAAAAAATATTGCAGAGATGTTTTAAATGCATTCAAAATGATTTCTATGAGTTTTTAACTTCCTGGAATATATATGACATTTATGGACATTGAGCATTTTCGTTACTGTCAACTGCCTTATGAGAAGTCTGAAACTGAATCACTAATTCTGCTAAAATGCTGTTGAAGAATGTAGAGCTCTTTGTTATGTGCAGGGTTACTGTCCTGAGACAAATATCCCCTTCCTTCAGTCTAAGAATTACAAAACAGATGATCCAACTTCTCCTGAATTTTGCCTATTATACAGTTTGACCAGGTATTTATATATTGTTTCACATTTTCACAGCCATTTTCCTAACAAGATTTCCTACCTGCCAGGTAATAACAATAAAACTAGAATAGCTGGGTTAAAACTAAAGCTGTTAAAAACCTCAGATAACTTTCTTAGGAAGAATTTAGAAATATTTTTCAAGAAAATAAGCACTCAATTCCTGTCATTTCTCCTAGGAATTCATTTTTTGAGTATTTTAAAAAATCTTAATATAATTTAATTCTATCTATTTCTGTCTATTTTTCTAATAATACTTCATATAAGTTAACTATTCTTTGCACTGCCTTCAGAATACTCCATTTAAAAAAGATCTATTCCCCTGCAATAGAGTTGCCTAAAGGTGTAAGATTAAATCAGCGGCCTACAGTTTAGTTGCCTTCTTGTGTCATTCTTAAAAGTTTTATTTTTTAGCTCTTTTTTAAAAAGAGTAAAAATATTTAAAAAATAAAAATTACAAATGACACAGAATTTAATTAAACGAAATAATATGAATTTCACAGTAGTGTTGTCTTCTATATATGTGTACAAAATTGGAAGAAGAAAGAAAAAAGAAAAAAATATAAGAAAGAAGAGAAAAAAGGAAAAAGAATTGAAAACAGAAGACAAAAAGAATTAAGGATTAACTATTTTTTCCATAGCCCAGCAGAAATCCACAGCAGAGTTGTCAAAACCAACCTGCTTGCATACATAGATCCCTGTCCCCCTCCCCCTCTCTTGTCCTCCTCAACTCAGTAAACCCTTCCTTTTAAACATGCTAATTTCCCTTGTCCAGTATCTATTGTTCCCTTCAGATTTTATTTTCTCCTTCAGGTTCTCACTCTAAGGAGATAATAGGATGTTTGCACATGTTGGTTTGATTTTTTTTTTCACTTAAAATGATCTCTAGTTGTATCCGTTTACCAATTAAACCCTCAAAGTTTTATTATCTTACAATTAACTTTAAGGTTGATTTCTTCAAATATTTGTGGCAATATTAATATGAAAAACATGCAGAAAGAATTTTAATTATAGTAAGTGTTTTGAGTGGATCATTTTCTCTTAAGCTTATTTCTTTCTCAGGTGTGGCCAGGGTATATGAGAAGGCCCAACACCCTAATATTGAAAATTATCTGAATTCACACTATCTATAATAACTTGTGTATCCTGATTGCAATATTTTCCCATCATTATCAGTATGCATTCCAGAAACCCTTTATTCATTGACATATTTCAATTGGACTTTATGAAGTAAACAGTTATCTGTTATAGTATCGGTGTATTTTTTTATTTATTCATTTGATTTCAGTATTAACATATTTACCAGCCAGAAAGACGCAAGTACTAACAAATAAGAATAGATCCCTCTGAAAATAATCTGAACAGACATAGCTACATTAAGGGGCAACTCTACTGTTGGGATTCCTTCAATGCCTGATCATGAAACTAAAGTTATATCTAACACAGGAGGAGAAGAGGCTCAACTTAGCTTATAACTTATAGAAAAATATGAAACTTTGAAATTCTTCCCAGAAAAGTGTCTCTCAGGGGAACTGGAAGGAATCTCCTCATGTACTTTGTGGACATTGTTCCTTTTCCTGTAAGAGTATGATTCCATATGCATATGGCAGCCCCTTTGCCACCAAGTGCCAACCAAGAAGGTCAACATCATTTCCTCTAATGGCACTTCAGCTGGGGATGTAGCCCAGTGATAGAGCACTTGCCTAGCATGTGTGAGGCCCTGGATTGGATCCCTAGGATCACCACAAAAACAAAACAAGCCAAACAAAACAATCTTTCTAATGCCACTTGCCGGCCATCACTGATTTCCTTCCATAGAAAATATGTGTTGTCCTCTTGGTAGCATATATTTTAGAGTTACCCACCCATTTCCATATACAAATGACATTCTTATCAAACGCTGAAATGTGAACTAGAGCTAACCTGCATCTTCTCAGGCGCGTAGGCGTTGCATAAGGTGTAGTTGGTCCACGTGCGGTTGTTTTCGGGGTGTTTGAACCACATCCCCTTTTCATCACAAAGCTTTGTGACCTTTTCTGTAACAAAGCACAAAAGACAAGACATTTGTAACTCAAAAGCCAAAAAAGGAAAGCTAATAAATGAAAACTTTAAAACCATTCTAAAGTGTCACTCTGTAAACCTCAATGTAAGTTTTAGTCAATAGAAAACACATGGATCACGTATTATGTAGGGTGTTTTAATAGGCTTGTCTCATTTTTATCTTCAGGTAAGCCACTTAAAGAAGTTTCCAATTTGAAAACAGATTCTCAGGCTCTATCCCTAGAGAGTCAAATTCTATGGTGCTGGACAGGGGCCAGGAATTAGCATTTGAAAAAAACCATCATCAAACCTGGCATGGTGGTGCACAACTATAATCCTAGCCTGAAAAACTGAGGTTTAATGTAAGGACCCTGGGTGAATGGGGACCTGTTTAGGTACCAGAATAATAAAAAGAAAGAACTGTCTGCCTGTTTGTCTGTCTGTCAGTCTTCTTGC